TGTTTTGCAGATTCTGTATAACAGCTTTAATATAGAGAGAACACAACTTCCAGATTGTGTGAGTAAAATCAGGTTTTTTCTCTTTGTCAGTTTAACAGTTTCTGCTGTGCCTGTCTGTTTTCTTACCTGGTTCTTCCTGATCTTGTACTTTCTCCTCACATTCCCCTCTTTCCTCTCTCCCTCTTTAGACTGACAAACATACACAAATAGATTCAATTAGATGAAAAATTACATTAATATGAAAAAAAATTATATTAAGATCACTAACAAAAAGTCCTCTCTCAGTGTAATTTCAACCAAAAGGCAAATAACCAAACTACATGAACATCTAATAAAAGATATAAACATTGAAACACTGATCCACTGATTATTCTTGAGAGACGGATCATTTGATTTTACACTTTTACCTGAATGTGGCTCCTTTTTTTTAATAAACTTCCTTATATCCATTATGAACCTGGCTGTCTCTCTGTACACACAACGGGAGTTATAAGGTTATTGGGCATTCAGTCAGTTAGCTAGTTAGTATCCATTTCAAACAGGACAGAGGTAACAACAGTAGGTTACGGACAATTTTAAGTTTTACGGTGTGTTCACATCGAACGCGATGGACGCGAATAGAGCGTCAGGTTTACATGTAAAGTCAATGGAAAAGCGCGATGACACGCGATTGCAGGTCCCGCGAAAATTCGGAAGCAGATTTGCGTCGCGAAAACGCCAAAACGCGTGAAATGCGCGTCAGTGTAGCACGTCTGGCGCGTTTGACTCGCGAAAAAAACCACACACGTGAGTTTTTGTGTTGCATTTTGTGCATGCGCGCTTTCGCGTCTACTGCTCGAGTTGGAAAAATCTGAACTCCAGCGTCAAATCGCGCCGCTACAACCAATCAGGAGCCTGGTGACGTGGCTAGGACCTAGGTCAAAGGGGCAGATCCAGCCAAAGCCCTTGATTCTTCATTCAGTATGGAGGAAAAGCTCATCAGTGCTGTGGCTAATCACCCAGAGCTATATGATGCTAGCTAGTACTTCTACCAAGACAGGAATAAAAAGGACCTAGCTTGGAGACACATAAGTGAGGAGATCGGGCAACCTGGTAAGTTCA